TTTCATGATGTATACCTTGTTATATACAAATAAAATAAAGAAATGATGTTTACCTACTTAAAAAAAAAAAAAAAAAAAAGATATATTTCATTAATAATTATTAATTCAATTTAAATAAAAATTTTATAATATTTATTTAAAATATATTTAAACATCTCCCCTCCCAAAACAACAATAAACACATTCGCCACCTGTAATCTGGCAAATCAAAAGAATATTCGCAAATACAGATATGTGTCCACAATTATTAACCAAAGTATATATATAGGAAAGATAAACAAACAGGCCAAAGTCCTGGAAAACTTATTCAAAGCACAATACTTTACAAGAATAGGAGATGACTCACCAATTGAAAAATACAAAGGATGCAACATGAATATAGGAGAAAAAACAAACACATGCATCAGAAGAATACAATTAAAAGGGGCAATTATACTTTCAGTCAAAACAATAAAAACGAGCTCAAAATTCTTTAATCAAATAATAGAAAATTTGCCATGAATACAGATCTCATCAAACTCAATCAGAGAGATGCACAAGTGGAGCAATTTAATACCAAAAGAGGAGAATGATATTCATATAGAAATCAACAATAGCAGTAACAAACCAATAACAAACATACTAAATCTAAAGACATTAAAACTGTAGAGCCTAATTTAACAAAAACTTGAACAAATCCAGGAACATATACAAGATTGGAAACTTACTGAAGTATATACAGATGGATCCATAGAAAAGTACAACAACAATCAGGTGAGAATGAGGTAGGAGGCATAATTATTAACAAAGAAACACTCGAAGAAATAGAATTCAAAGGCAGATGCGAAGGATTTCCATCATCTACAAAAGCAGAGTTAATGGCAATACTTACAGTGATAACACTCCTTAATTCGAAAACAGAAGCAACCATATTTACAGACAGTCAGTGTACGATTCAGGCAATACAATCAGTAACCACAGTAAAATAAAGGGTGGCAAAAGAAACAAACATATTTACAACAACTCTTATTCATGAAAAGATCAAAGATAGAATAGCAACAACAATACTAATAAAGATCAAAGCATACACAGGGAAAAAATATAATGATCGTGCAGACCAGTTAGCAAAAGAAGGCAATGAGCTAGACCATACACACATCATAGATACAAACTGTCAACACATAAAAGAGATGGTAGGAATACTGCAATGGAATGGTAAAAATCTCAATATAGGAACCAATGGATTCATAAAGCAATAGTAAAACAGCAAATAGGTTAGTACATGGGTGACATAAAGAAGACACAAAGTATGGTTAAATACAAGTAATGAGAAAATGATAGACTGGAGAAGAACATGAGCAAGCTTGTCACCATCAAAGATTACAAGCTTCCACACTAATCAATAGGATCATAATAACAGAGGGTTTAGATACAAACTGCTTAATAAAGAGCTTTCCACCAAAGATAAGCTAAATGAAAGAAGATCAGACTTATACAAGGACAAAATATGTTCTTAGTGCAACAGATGGGAAACTACAGAACATATATTCAACGAATACTATAGGGATGAGATCAGAACCTCATACCTGCAGATATTAAAAGAAGAAATAGCAAGCAGGGTAGAAACACAAGAAAAAAAATGAATTGGAAAAGACAACTTAAATCCATTATTAACGACTCAGAAAGAACCATCAGGTACATAATCAAAGGAATCTATGAAAAGGACCTAACTGAGCTGGTGGGCCAAATCAATAGAAAAAAAATTAAAGACATACTAAGAACAGTTACAAACAGAATGACAGAGGAACTCCAAAAACTTTGGACTCATAGATGCAAAGGTTTCCAACAATAGGAAAGAAAAGAAAACATAAGCAAAAAAGAAAAAAGGAGAAAAAAATGAAGACATCAAGTTGTCACTCAAGTTGCAGACATAAGGCAGCACAGATCTCCTTTTGAAAGAACAGAAGAAACAAGAAAATTATAAAAAAAACTTTTAGAAAACTGGTTAGACCAGGGAAAAAATATAATTAATTTCAATTTTTATTACTTTTTATATAATAACAACACTAATGAAGTCTTGGCACATTAGCTTTGATACATGCCAAAAGGTAAGTCAATAGCAACAAGCCGATATGGAGTCAAATCGATATAGCAAAACATGCACCTAGAATAGTTTATAGATAGTAAGTCTTGTAACAAGAAATACATATGTAAACTAAATAAAGTATGTTGAGCAAGGCCACACTAGTTAAGTTAAAAAAAAAAAATTTAATGCATTATTAGAATATGGAAGATACATTTAATATTATTGACTCAACTTGGGACCTTGATAAAGAGTGCATTTAAAGAGGGTGTACGTTTAGAAATGCATTTAGGAGAGATTCTCTGTATTAAGAATTCAAAATGTTATAAAAATTTAGCGGATTGTCGATCGCCGATCATGCCTTAATTTAACTCGTCAGGATGTAGAATACACATGCATTTACGTGCAATGCTTCGAGCTTCTCTTATCCATATCTGTAAATTAGTCAACATACCGACAACACTTATTCGCAGGAATCGGGTTATCCATGTGAAGAGAGACTTTGTAACCGATGCCATACCTCAATTTTCTCAATTTTATGGTTTCTTACAACCTAAACTTAAAGCTACCTCTCATAAACCTTCATTAGGGTCCAAGGTACTGAATTTATTAACAAGAAACACTTACAAAACATATTCACCCGAAGACACGGGCGAAATCTTTCAGAAATGTAAGAACTTGACCCAACTTAAGAACTCGGTGAATCGTCTTTTCTACAAGTATCATACGCCAAAGGAAGGCACTATCATATCAGCGTTGAA